GGTAAGAAGAGAGAAAAACGAAGAGAGAAAAAAACGGAACGTTGAAGAAGGGCGCTCGTGAAAAGTTTTGGGAGGGAGTGGGCGGGTGCCGTGCGGCTTTACACGCTTTTTTGCACGACAACAACGCGAAACATCGGGCTGAAAATTTTCGAAAGTTTATTTAAACTAGTGCTGCGGTATACCCCTGAGTTCACCGATATATATAAAAACTAGAGAGAGAGGGGAGAGAAAGAGAAGAACCCGCGTTAAAATAACGAAGTATCTATACCAAATATGAAATATATATCATTCAACGAGATAGAAAAAAGTCGCGAAAATTTGTTGAGTAGATTTCTTAAAAAAGGAAGGAAGGGCGCGAAAACAACGATATTCGAAAAGGGGAGGGGGGGATAATATTTCTGAGATGGAAACGTTTGAATCGGGGAAATGCCGATTTCGGTCGATGGCCCGAGGTTATTTCGCGATACGTTTCTCGAGTAAGAAGTTTTGAGCGCGAATCCACCTTAGGCTATTAATCGAACTCGAACGACGATTTTCGACGACGAGATAAAAAAAAAGAGAAGAAAAGAAAAGAAACATAGGTAAACAAGATCTAGCCACGGGCGCGAAAACATAATTTCTTCTTCCGACCTCGCATCACCCGCGTTACTTGTTTCGTCGTATATCCCGGCCAACCGATTCAATCCTTTGCACTCCAGGCCTTTCTCGTTCGGCCGAATCAACAACTCCACGCGATTTCCCGCGCCCGTTCGGTTTCTTAGCTAACTTAAAATAATTTCAAACATACAAATTAATGTATAAAATTTTTATATTTTAATATTTTAGGTATTTTTACGTGTAAAAAAAGAAAATTTAGTCGAATATTAAAATCCATATCGTTGTTTCGCGCGATATTTTAATAATAATGTAATTACCAAGATGCATCGGTTGTCAGGGAAAATATCGCGATAATAAAATCCCAATAACGTGCTCTCGCATTCACCATCTATTATTCTTATTTTTCACCTTCTCTTATTATATCTTTACTTTCATATTTCATCTTTTTCATCTTCATTTTCCTTCTCTCTATCGTAATTTCTTAACGAATATAAATAATTTCGTTATTAAATAATGAAAAGTTAAACTCATTCTCGTTCGAATTAATTTCACTATCATATGTCCATGCTTACTTTAAAAGTGAAAAAATAATATTTCTATCGCCATGTCTGTCAAACTGGTATCAATATACATCTGCGATCACGATCTAATTTTTTTTAAATCTAAAAAATCTAAATCCATTCGACGATATATTATTCCACGCTTTATAATATATTATACGTAAAAAGCTTAATAATCTATTGGCGAAAAGATATTTTAAAAAATCAAACAATTTGTTTTAAATAAATATCGTCGCCGTTCGAATTGTCGCATCGATCCAAACGGTGCCCGAGTGTGCAATCATCACGAAGGATTAATCGTCGAGCTGAAAAAAAAAATCTAAGGGCAAACGTTCCACACACATTTTCGACGTCGAAAGAACGAACATTTCCTCCCAGTTTCGATCGAACCCGTTCAAAATCCGTTTACACGTCCGCGCCTCGTCGTTCTCCTGTTATTTCGTATTATTTTCGGAGGATAGGGGGAAGAGAGAGAGCAAGCACGCTTTTAACGTTCCATCTACGATGCGCGAACGAGACATGCTCACGGACCGACCAACTACCCGAATAATACCCGACAACCGCAAATTTGCATTCGTGCGAATCCATTCGGCGTAACTACTCCTCCTGGATCGCCGCGTTACCCTTCGACGCGAAACGACTCTCTCCCATTTGTCCTTTAACCAATGTGGCAATATCGGCTCACTCGGCAACATCGCCCCCCACTCCACTTATCCGTACCCGTTCCTCGCTCCGCTCTTTCGTCCTCCTTTCATTTTTAAACTAACGTAAACACGGATCGGAATATGTTCGTACACCGATCGAAATTTAACCTTTAAGCGGTGGAAGGCATCGCTCGATTAATTCGAGAGGTGACGATATTTATTTTTCGTTTGATTTCTTTAAAATATCGAATAGATTCCTTTAAAACGTAAAATAATTTCGGCGTTGGTTTTCAAGTTTTTACAAAGTTTTTGTCAGTATGGAATATGGTAAAACTAATTAAAATCGAGGATGAGTTTGATTTTTCGTTATCGAATAACGAAATTATTTATATTCGTTAAGAAATCGAGGATAGAGAAAAAATAGAGTGATGAAGATAGAGATATAGCGTAAGAAGATGAAAAATAAGAATAATAGACGAATGTGAATGTGAGAACACATATTTGTTCTAACAAATCAAGGATGCATCTTGATAATTATTATTAAAATATCGCGCGAAACAACGATTATATGGATTTTAATATTCGACAAATTTTCCTTCTTTACACGTAAAACGTTAAAATACAAAACTTTTATATAAACGTTGATTCGCGCGTGAAATTATTTTCAAGTTAGCTAAGAAAACTGAATGTGGTGCGATGTTGTTATTTCGGCCGAGCGAAAAAAGGATCAAATCGTCCTTCCATTCTTTTCCTTGCCTTCCCGTCGATCGAGTCGAATTACCATTAAAATACTCGTTCAAAAGAATATAACACTGGATCGAAAGGGAATGATGAAATGATGATTAATTTTCTTGCTTACGCGCATGCGTCGTCCTCTCGTTCTCTCGCAGGCGCGATTACTCCAAAAATGCGTGCATTATTCAGAATAATCCCTGGCGAAATACGAGAGGCGAGAGTGTCTCGGTTGATAAACAAAGGTGCGGGATCGCGATTCTACAGAAAAGCTCGGGTAGAGAAAAGCATCGCAGCAACCGCTCACCTCCGTGGAAGGGAAATCCAATTCGAAGGAATGCCGGCAAGTTTAACGTCGCTGCTCTGATCAAAACTTCACACGCGTCCCTCCCCTCTCCTCACCCTTGACGCGGTTCCCCGCGAAACTCCTTTGATCCATTGTTGTTGGAACGCCAACACGCGCGAATTTTAAGACGCCTCTATTTTCCCTTCCCCCCCTCAGAAAGAAACCTTCCATTTCTTTCACACGGCTCTCCCTCCCCCTCTCTTTCTACCATCTAAACCCCCGGTTAACCGTTCATGAATATATAACGCGGATTTGCCGTGGGCCGTGCTCTTACGAGAATTTCCAAAGGGAAGAATTTCGAACCATTTCCATAGCGGAAAAAAAAAAAAAGAAAAAGAAAGAAAGAAAAACGGAAGACGCGAGTCGAGATTTTGTTTAATTCGTCGGGAAGAGGGTATACTGGATATCGTTTCCTGCGATGGGCCGACAGATGAAACGACAGGGAATCTTTCCTTCGGTCTGGCTTTTTCGAAAGATGGATCGAGGAGTGGGGAGGAGGAAGAGGAGGGGGAACGATAAAAAGAACGGGAGGAGAAGACTCGAGGCTCGACCCGCGGTCATTTTTACATTTTCACCGGCGGGGGAATTTGGAACGAGAAATGTGCCGCTGCTTCAAAGGCGCGATTCTCTTCCGACAGGCGGACGGACGGACGGAAAAAGACGTCTGGTTAAAGTAAGGAGGAAGATTTATGGCTTTCGAAACTTGATCGGACGGGTTATATACAGAGTTGGGCCGAAAACATATATTTCTTTCTCCCGATCGTTCTATCGATCTACGAATATTAAACAGTTTCTTTAACACGTTTTGACTGCCTCTTCACCCATATTCGGGTGACGCTTATTTGGCTACTTATGAACAAATGTAGTAGCAGGGATATCTCAAGATTACGTTACGGCAAAATTTAAAAATGATTCACCAATTTATGCATAGTTATAATAATATATAATAGTTATAATAAATTATATATATATATTATATTATTATTATATTATATATATATTATTATATATATTATAATTATATATATTATAATTATATATATTATAATTATATATATACGCACTTAATAGATTAAACGCTTTATATATGTAATATTATTTTGGATCATTTTGGTGGTGATAATTTGTCTCGTTATAGAATGGTTCGAAAATGTTGGAACGATTGAATTTTTCATGAATGAAATAGATGTGAAAGGAACTTATTTAAGACAATGAGAGATATATATTAGGAAATCTTTTCGATTCATATATGCGATATTATTTAACATTGATATTTCGTTGGACTATCTTTGCTGATAATAATTTGTCTCGATATTCTATACAGTGATTTCGTAAAATTCGGAATTATACATATTATATAATTATACATATTTTTATAATTTTTTCTTTAAGCATCCGCTTCGAAGATATTCGAAATTTATTTAATTTT